TTTCTCTTATATCCGGGTTTGGTCTATTTTATATACATTAACACAGGCTCTAATTTGGGACCAGAGGTAATCTCTCTTATATCCATATTTCTCTTATATCCGGGTTTCTCTTATATCCGGGTCTCTTATATCCGGGTTACACTGTAGTTGGTTTGGTTTGGTTTGTTATATTTTACGGCCTATCAACCCCAATGGGTTATTTAATATCGACAAATTTTCATTTTTGGTAATATTTTGTTCTGTCAAAAATCTATTTTTGATGATAATTTTTTTCTCCAAAATTATGTTACTATAATATTTTTTTTAAAAAAAATTATTGCTGGTAATATTTTTTTCCTCAAAAATGTAGAGCTGGTAATAAGTTTTTTCTTCAAAATTTTATTACTGGAAATAATTTTTTACAAATTTTTCTGGTATTAAAACTTGTTTTTCCACTTTCATAGTGTTTTTATCCCAATTTCGGGATTATCTATTTGCCCGTAGCTGGGATCCTAACAGGTGCTACCACACTGAGTCAGAACAAACACGGGAACACCACCGATAAAAGGTGGTTCCACGCTCCTCAAAACCTCCTGATCAGAAGCCTCGCTGTTGGAAGTAGTTTATCGTCTTACCCAGGACGAGGTTGGTACTGATTTGGCAAATGCTTGCTGAAAAGCGATGATTAAATCGGTTGAAAGTTGAAAGTTGAAAGAAATCCACTTACGTTTCCTTACACTTATAAAGAAATGAACTGACTTGTTAATCAGCAAAGTTTGATTCAAGATTTTATGGGACAGAGTAATTGACAGGGGCAGAGAAAGGTCAATCGGTTGATTAAATTCTGAACACGAATGTGGAAATAATAGAAAACATAGAAATGTGTTGAATAGAATGGATCTATAATTAGAATATTTCAACCAGATCAAGACTGAAATTGGAAATTAAGAAACGTTAATGAGGGAAGCAAATTATACTCTCAAAAGTATTTGATAGTAAAAAAATATAAAAATAAACGTGGATACAGATGGCTTATTGTATAATATTTAGATTTAACGAAATCTCTTTAAAGCTGTCATTGCTTCCTTCTAATTCTACTAATAATGACTATTAGTAGTATAAAATACGACTAGGAGTATAATGGCAGATGAAGAAAACGTAAAAACAAAGAAAGAAAGAAAGAAAGAAACAAAAAAGAAAGAAAAAAGAAAGACAGCAAGAAAAAAGAAAGAAAGAAAGAAAAAAGAAAGACAGCAAGAAAAAAAGAAAGAAAGAAAGAAAGAAAAAGAAAGACAGCAAGAAAAAAGAAAGAAAGAAAGAAAGAAAAAAAGAAAGACAGCAAGAAAAAAAGACAAAGTTTTTTTTTAAAGTCATTGTGTATTTCTCAGTTATAAGCAAAACAAATCTGTGAAAGACTGAAAAGGGTTGTTAATAAAATCCAATCTTCTATGAAAGAAACGTTTACTAGTCACTGGGATAACGACGATGGTGATGCTGATACTGCTGGTTCTGCCGATGCTGCTGATGAATTAGTCGAAAGCATTTGTAAATCAAGGAGGGGGGGGAATAAAAATAAATTAAAAGTTTCATAAAATAAATTATTCTCAACATAAATTGTTTTCTTCTTGATATTTTTTTTTTTACATCCGCGTGGAATTTTAATTAAAAAAATATTTCTTCACTTGAGTTGATCAACATAGCACAATTAAAAAGCGGATTCAGTCAAGACATGTGAAGAAAGTATAAACAAGAAAAAAAATAAACGATCAGCAGACTAAACAGAATGATGGTCTTTCGCCGATGTTTGCCATGATTCGATCCCAGCTCAAAAGATAATTAAGAAGAGGATATGTTATGAGTAATAATAAAGAAATAAAATATGATAATCACAATTAAATTTAAGAATAGAATCTTGTACAAAAAATATTATGTATATTGAAGATAAAATCATAGTAATTAATGGATGGGTTTCATACAGTCTGTGTTAGATGTCAAGATTTGATTAAGTATAGGACTAAGCGAAATGTTGACGTTGCAGTAGTACGGATTTAATAAGCGGATAACAGATAAATATTCTTTGTTTCAGTAGAACATACAAGGCAAGTAGAAGATCTGTTACATTACGGCATGTCAATATTTGAACTAAAAAAATAAAGATCTTTACAATTAAGAAATATTCTTTGTTTCAGTAGAAGATAGAAGCCAAGTAAAAGATCTGTTACATTAAGGCGTGTCAATATTAAAACTGAAAAAATAAAGATGTCTTTACAATTAAGAAATATTTTTTGTTTCGGTAGTACATAGTAGGCAAGCAGAAGATCTGTTACCTTAAAGCCTGTCAATATTCGAACTAAAAAAATAAAGATCTTTACAATTAAGAAATATTCTTTGTTTCAGTAGAAGATAGAAGCCAAGTAAAAGATCTGTTACATTAAGGCGTGTCAATATTAAAACTGAAAAAATAAAGATGTCTTTACAATTAAGAAATATTCTTTGTTTCAGTAGAACATAGAAGGCAAGCAGATCTGTTACATGAAGGCCTGTCAATATTCGAACGAGAAAAATAAAGATGTCTTCACATTTAAGAAATATTCTTTGTTTCGGTAGATCTGTTAGATTAAGGCATGTCAATACTCGAACAACAAATGTAAAGATGTGTTCACAGCTAAAAAATATTCTTTGTTTCGGCAGAACATAGAAGCCAATTAGAAGATCTGTTACATTAATGCATGTCAATATTCGAACGAGTAAAATAAAGATCTCTTTACAATTAAGAAATATTCTTTGTTTGGTAGATCTGTTAGATTAAGTCATGTCAATACTCGAACAAGAAAACTAAACGTGTCTTCACTATTAAAAAATATTCTTTGTTTCGGTAGAACATAGAAGCCAATTAGAAGATCTGTTAGATTAAGGCATTGAAAAAAGTGAAAGAGAATGAGAAGACATTAGTGAGAAGATGTGTGAAAAAGACAATAAAAGAACAGATATCAAGAAGTCAAATGATGGCGATTAACGTTGCATTTAAATGTTTGACGATC